TTAGAGCTGTAGGGTTGAGTGTCAAGATACAGAGCCTGGGTTCAAGAAGTGTTTAGGGTTTTAGGGTCTCTGCTGGATACGAGGCCTGCTGCAAGAAAAGGGTCTCAGAACCGCGCCACCGAGTTTCCGCTGAGTGCTTGACTCCAACTGCCCGGCAGCTGAGCCGCCAAAACCCTAAACCCTAAACCCCTAAACCCCTAAGGCCGAGACGCCTAGCTCCTAAACCCTAAACTTACCCGAAGCAGACTCAGTGTCAGCCGAAGGACTACGACCGCGCCGCGGAGTTAAAAGCCGTGGAACAGCAGCTGCAAGGCGCCAGGCAGATGGGGCCGGGAGTGGAAACTTACACTAAGGTTTGTGATATAAACCCTGCAGTACCCATCATAAGGAATATGTCATGATTCCAATAGTTTAGGGACATTAACGTACCCGTAATGCAGGATTATAACATCAACCGTGCGTAGCCGCAGCCGCAGTCGTAGTAGTCGTAGTTAGTCGCAGTCGTAGCCGTCATCGTGGTAGTAGCAGTAGTAGTAGTAGTAGTAGTAGTAGTAGTAGTAGTAGTAGTAGTAGTAGTAGTAGTAGTAGTAGTGGTAGTAGTAGTGGTAGTAGTAGTAGTAGTAGTAGTAGTCGTAGTCGTAGTCGTAACAGTAGTACTAGTAGTAGTAGTAGTAGTAGTCGTCGTCGTCGTCGTCGTCGTCGGTGTGATTTGCAGAAGCCCCTTTACGGTCCTTTAGCTCCTAGATACTTTAGGACCCGCACGAACAGCACATCTCGAATTATTGAACTCCTGTCCAGCAGATGTTTTGGGCACACTCGAATCCTAATCATCGAATCATCGAACTTCGAAACGTTTCACACGATCCCTGGCAGGCAGCTCGAAGACGCCCACGCATCGCGCGCAGCGGTGCGGCTGATGGCAGACTCCGACATGGAGGTCGAAGAGTCGTATTTGGGGTTTAGGTTTTAGGCTACAAATCACCAGGACATAGTAATACCGGTGAGACAGATGGCTGCTAGATTTCAGGTTCCTTGGAAGCCCACAAGCCCACGAACTGTTGGCATTTCGCTTACCCGCGCCACCAACGTTCTGAGCTAACTTAGACCTCCGGTGAGTAAACCTAAGCCTACAGCCCTGAACCAAAGTAGAAGCCTTGGAAAGCGAAGTTTCAGGTCCAGACCATAAATCCCTAGTTCCCTAAATCCTCAAACTCTAAACCCCAACTCTAAACCCTAAAACCCTAAGCCAGAGTCTAAGCCCCTTCAACACTAAACCCCGGAGCTTGAGCCAAGCCACGGAAGGAGCGCGTGGCGGGCTTCCTCCCCCTCCTGGCCGAGCAGGGCCGCAGCTGGACAGAGAGACGGTTTAGGGTTGTGTGTTTTTAGGATTTAGGGTTTAGGTTTGTGGTTTTCTTGAATCTTATAGAGGGGCTTGAAAAATCAGAAATGCGTAGAATTTAGTCAGGTGTTTCGTCTGGGGGCTTGAATAGTCAGTTATATATATTTGTCCTTACAGTTCCCCATGACTTCAAAGTTTTACTTGTATTGAAAACCTTAGTCTACTCTTTCATACTTTCATATCAGGCGGTTTAGGGTTAAGGGTTTAAGGTGCCTCGTGACCTGGTATATCTTTTGGTCATTCTGAGAGTTGATACATTCAGTTACATTCAAGCCATTAAAGTGGTCAACGCTAAACGTAGCTTGTGACAGCTTGGGCACCATAGGAATCATAGCAGTTACCATGCGCAGATGAAAGCGGTTTGGAGGCCACGCTTGGAAAGGGTTTAAGTCAGGCTGAAATGGGTTTCCCACGAATAGCTCTTGGTGTTCAGAGTCCGGCAGCAGGCAGCAGGTGTCGGTTAAGCATTGTGAATGTTTGGCTCGTGACTCGGTCGCACCCTGATAGAAATGTCGCGGTATATAAACTCTGTAGAGCCGACTCTTCCAGGGGCAAAACGCCCCCCAAAGTGTGGTTGAGACAGTTCTGCCTTAGTCTAAGAGCCCCAGCGAGCCCCAGCAAGAGTTTACCCTTTACGTGCTACACAGAGAGAGCGCGAGAGAGCGAGAGCGAGAGAGAGAGAGAGAGAGAGAGAGCGAGGCAGGAATGTCTTGTAGACCGTTCAAAACCGCTAGACATTGATCTGGTGAGAAATATACTTTGCTCGCGCATGTCTGTTGAAGGTCTTGTCACCTGCAGACAACTCTTCTTCGCTTTTGTGCCCGAGCCTGGAACACAACCGGCGAAGGCTTTCTGTTCCCTTGAGTTACAAAGGCCTGAATCGAAAGCGACTTCACTCCCAAGGCACCAGAAACTCACGAAAAGGCCCTCAAGCTTGCACTCCAAACCCTAAACCACACACCTTCAGCCCTAAACTCTCGAAGCCCTGAACCCTAAACCGTAAACTAAAAGCCCAGCACCCGAAACGCTAAACCTACCCTTGAAGCACCCAGGCCAGCACCCAGAGCTCTGGGAGGCTGTGCGAGCGGAGCTGGGCTGAGAGGCACTTTACAGGGGTTTTAACAGGAGATTCCTAAGAGCTTTATTAGGGTTTAGGTGTTAGGATGTAGGTTGTCGGGTTTAGGTCTTAGGAGAGAGGGTGTAGGGTTGTAAAGGGTTTAGTTAGGGTTTTGGGTTTCAGGGTTCTGTAAGAGCTTTTTGGGGTTTCGGGGGATCATAAGAGCTTTATTGGGGTCTCCGGGGTTCTATCAGCTTTCGGAGGTTTCGGGGTTCTGCTGGAGCCTTCATGGTATCTTCTTAAACAAGACAGAGCCCAAACCATCCTACGTCCTACGCCAGTTTCAGCCAACCATTCAGCCGTGGAGTGGCAGCGAAGACCGGCCTGCCCTAAACCGAAATCCCTAAACCCTAAACCCGAAACCCCCAACCCTGTCACAGCCTTGGGGATGCTCAAAGGGATGGGCAGACGCAAAAAAGGAGCAAACAGAAAGTAAACCCAAATTTTAAACCCTAAACCCCTACACCCTAAGCCCTAAACCGAAAATCGCCGCAGTTTTGCCCAGGTCTCCTCGACCCGGCACACGTCCGATGGCGAATCGACCCGCAAGAGCCCCGAGCGTGAAGAAAGCGCCGCTGATGTAAGGTCATTTGGGTAAAGTTGATCAGAGTATATGGTATTGTACTGTATCATGCCATATTGTGTCATGCTGTGTTATGCAGTATTTTCATCAGATTTTATCATGCTTCAGTTTTCAATCGCATGACGGTTTTTGCACCTTCAACCCCCCAAACTAGGGGGCTTCGGGTTTGGTTAGGGTTTAAAAGCTCCAAGCGCCAAAACCCTCGAAGTTAAGAGCTTATTCTGATTGTAAAGGTCCCTACAACACGAACATCGATTTCGAGCATTTCGGGTTACCGAAAGCAGGGCTGCGAACGAGGCCGGTAGCGGTTAGCCCCGAAACTCAGAAGACGTCCGCTGCAGCGGCGGTACACTGCAAAGGGAAGGTAGAAGAAGAAGGAGCGGTTGTGGTGCTGGGATGAATCCCTTACTTGCAATTCACAGGTATGTTTTGGGTTTTGGCGGGTTTAGGGATCCCGTCCCTAGACTACATCCTTAGGTCTACAGTCTACATCCTAAACCCTACTTGGAGGATCACGGGACTTCGTAAGTAGGGTTATAAGTGCCTTGATTGGGGTTATAAGTAGATATAGCAATAGTTACCTTCCCTACTGAGTCCGATGATCCTCTAAGTAGACCCTAAACCCTAAACCTTACAGATCTCGGTAAGGAACCCTGTAGAACCCTAAGCCCTAAAGCGCAAACCCAAGGGCCCTAGGGTTTGCGAGACTGTGAGCAGAAGATGCACTGAGCTGCTGCGCTCTGGTTTGCGGCTTCCACCTGGTCGGGCGATGCTCGCAGGAGCTTGACCGGGAGTGCTTCCGGATCTTTAGGGGACTTAGTAAGTAGGGTCCTTAAAGGGATCTATAGTATAGGGTTCCTAAAAGGGATCTATAGGGTTTGGGGTTTAGGGTTGAGGCGTTTAAGCTTTGAGTCGTTTCAGAGGGGTGCCGGCATACACTCCAAGCCCGTGCTTTAAACAAAGAGAAATTTCTGAGTTTATGCTTAAGGGCTTGGGGTTCAGAGTTTGAGTTTGGGGCTAACGGTTTAGGGTTGACGGCATAGGGTGGAGGGTTTGGCTGTCTGTGGTCAGTCTGTTGCGCCTCGTGTTGCCTGGCAGTCCGAATCAACATCCAGTAAGAAGTATGACTTGTTGCTTTTTTTATGCCTTCGAAGTGGTGTCTTGGTGCAATCTGTTTCATACCTTTGGGGGGTTTTGCTTGGGTTGAAGGGTGGGTGGACTTCAGCGACGCGGAGTTTCAGTGCATTAGACCAGGCGCTACCGGGATTGCTAAGGGTTTTAGTTTTCTGTCTCTTCTGGTTGGATCCTGTTGTTGGGTGGCACAAATTTAGTTGCAGTTTTCTAGCCTGGTCAAGGGACATCAAGGGATGGACGTGTTACATGAACTTGCCTCATACATTTTGGGTGGCACAAGTTTAGTTGCAGTTTTCTAGCCTGGTCAAGGGACATCAAGGGATGAAGGTGTTACATGAACTTGCCTCATACACTAGAATCCGGGTTTGGTTGATGAAGATTCAGTCAACTTATGGGACAGTCGTGTTTGTTCCAACAGTAGTGCACAATTAGAGGATCAAAGGACTTGATAAGGGGTTATAAGTATTGAACTACAGTTATATCTACTTATCACCCTACTTTAGGTACTTGTAGCCCACTTTACTAAGTTCCATGATCCTCCAAGTAATGCATGCATGGAGGGCGCCTATCATCACCGCAGCTTCTGGAGTTGCAGGTCTGCTTGGGAGCGCAATGCACGCGATCTCTCCGAGTTGGGGGGTGATGTAAGACGTTCAGAGCGCCAGGCCCTAAACGCTGAATGCCCTTAATCCTGACCCGAAGCCCTGCATCTCCCAGATCGGAAGGCTTGTATTCTTTTCGAAAGCGGCGCACAGCCAGAATACGTCATGTCTCGATGCTTTAAGTGTGACAGTGTTATGGCCTTCACCCATTCTAAGCAAACACCGCAACCTTCCTTCGCCTTCGGTATGTCTGCGTCGTCGCCGTCTGTGCTGACAGCACCGATTGTGAACCAGCACATCGATGATGTCCTCCAGGAGATCAACCCTGTCCTGCAGGGCCGGAAAGGCCTTGTCCTCCACCCAGTGTCCGACTGGAATCTTCGCTCTTGTCAAGGAGCCCAGTTGAAGCCATCTTAATAAGGAAAGCGTGAGACTTGCTATAGATCCGTATTGTAGAAACTAATTGAATCATGATAGCTCAGTTAAGCCCAGGAGTGCCTTCTTGCCCGAAGTGCAGATGGATACGCCGTGGTATTTCGGACTGGTCGCTGAATCTTCGGATGACCCCGGAGCCAAAAAGCCGGCGCTTCTGTCCTTCTACGTCGGCTACTCCACCTGGGATGGAAGGTGCATCTTCCTCGATCAACTTCCCGAGACGGACGAGGAGACACCCTGAACCCCGCTTAGAGGTTTAGGAATTGGGGGAACCAGAAGCCCCGAACCCTGAGCCCGAGTGCGTCAAACCCTAAGTCAAAGTATTTCGAACCCGAGACCTCGTCTGGCATGTCCGAGTTGCGAGAGCGCAAAAAAACCGATGCCCTGAACGAGGACACGGAGAAGCTTTACCTGCAAATTCTGGCAAGGATCGCCCTTCGGCTCGGTTCCAGACGCCTGACCTGGAAACGACGGTCCATCCCCGAATGGTACAAGGCCGGTCCCCCGGAGATTTCGGAGGGATTGCTGGTTCTTCGAATGGACCGGCTGGCCATGGAGTCCTACGCCGCTAGGTAGGGCTTTGGGACATTTTATATTTTCCCTTATTGGGCTTAAGAGGGTCTTATTTACTAATATTTTTCAAAAGCTTCAAAAGCCCCACCTAGGCCGGCCTAAGGCCCGGAGGCGTGAGAGGAGGAGAGGCCTTCGACCGAGCTTTCGTGGAACAGCAGGCTCCTAGGCTGATCCTGATCCCAGAGAGCCCAATACCCCTTAATTAAGGAATATAGGGTTCTCTGAGGTTTTATGGCATAGAACTTTGGCACCTCCTCTAAGCAAGTGCAACTTCGGGAGGTCCGTTTTCGAAGAGTGCTATGAGGAGTGATGTCGTCTTACGAAACACGCGACCGGGTTAACATAGAGAGCCACTTATCTTCACCAGAGGGCGCGGCAGTTGTTGCAAGAAAAGCCCAGAGAGCCCAACACCCCTTAGTTAAGGAATATGGCTTAAACTATATAGGGCTTCATATTATGATTTAAGCTATATTCCTTAATGAAGGGGTATTGGGCTCTCTGGGAGCCGGAGGTGGAGGAGTGCTTGGAAGAGCGCAGGTCTCTCGGTACCGAGCCAGCAGTCGAAGTTTATCTTATGTGGGGTACTTAACTGCAGTTCCTCACGATCAAAACCAATCACGCAACCCTGCAGCAACGCTATTCTAACATGAGCCCTGAGCCTTAAACCCTAAAAACCCTAAGCCGCTTTGGGGACCTTTGCGAACGGAAAAGGCAGGTTTAACAAAAAGTCTGAGCCCTGAACCCTGAAGCCGAAACCCTACGTCCTAAAGTTTCCCTCACCCCGAAGAGTTCCGTTGCCTGTCCTAAGCCTTCGACATCCCTGAACCGTAGGTTCTAGAAGCTTCTCAGAACCTAAGCCCTCTAGGAGATTTGGAGTTTGGGGGCCTACAGGGCTTCAGGGTTTGGGTTTCGGGCTGAGGGCCTAGGGCACTGTTCGCTTCAGGGTTTGGGACATTGGGGTTTAAAGGGCTTCTATGCTTTGTAAGCTTTGCGGGTGAGAGGTCGTCCCGACCAAACCTCCACATGCGACTGGCGGGCTCCACCGACTCCGACGCCGAGGTCATGGCGCGGCTCGTGCGCGGACTTGCGATCTACACCCAGGAGACGCCCAAGGTAAATCTTGAGAGCTTAAACTCTAAACCTCAACCTTGCCGGGCTCGCGGCTGTAGGTCAAACCGCACAGGGGCCAGGGTTTTACGGATTAGGCTCTCGTGGTAGAGAGCGGCGGAGAGTCCGAGAGACTGCCGTTAACGTCTACTTACTTGGACTCTATGCTTTAACGCCCCGCCAGCCTTTGTGAGTGACAGACGTGGATGTCCCGGTAGGGTACATGGAACACGTCTCAATTTGCAGCACTGTAGTCTGTAGGGTCTGTGAGCCACAGCCCCTGAACCCCAATGCCGAAGCCTTAAACTGAATCCCAAATGTGCCTTATGTAGGCCTAGACGATGGGCAGACATGAAAAGGAGCTCAAAAAAAGTGCTGAACCCCAAGCTCCAAACTAAGCCCTGAACCCTAAACCCTAAACCTTGCACTTTAAAAAACAAAAAAAGAACCCTAAACCCGAAACCCTGGCTGTGTCCGAGTTGTGAGAGCGTAAACCCGAAACCCTAAACTCATATGCCTCGCCTGGTTTGTCCGAGTGTGAGCGCCGAAACGTCGAGGAGCCACTGGAAGCCGTTCGCTGCACCGCCCGAGACTACCTCGTGGATGGTGGTGGCCCCACTCCGCTCTACTACTGCCTGCTGAGTCTTACTTGTAGTGTTGAAGGTTTAGGGTGTTGAAGGTTTAAGCCGTTACTGACTGATTGTTTGTGGTGAGGCTTTGCAAGGGTAGGACTTGGCGTGGTAAAGCTGACTGTGTAATGTATGGGCCTAAAAAAATTCTGGAGGCTCCTTATTACAAACATAGTATAATGGTCCCAAAACTCATTCTAATCATTAAGGCCCCTATATTATGCACCGGACGACGAAGGATTGACCACATTGACAGCAGCACTGGCGAAAAGACGACCTGTGGCATCGCAGTGGTCTACTTTGGCTACTACATGAAAGAGGGTCGGTTCCTGTACTTGGAGGACCTCTATGTTGAGGAAGCTTACAGAAGCATCTGGGTCTTTGTTAAGGGGTTTAATATTTAAGTTATCATAATAAGGAAACCATACTCTTTACTGTAGATCCCTATCATGGTAACTTAACAAAATAGCCCTTATGGTAATTAAAAGTAGCCCTTTACTAGAACCCAGGCAAAGGGGCTGGTAGCACCACACTCAAGGCCCTGGCTGAAATTGGACTCCGGCTAAACTGTGCGACGTTTTATTGGCTAGCTCTGGAATGGAACAAGCCGGCACTCGAAATGTACACCAAGATTGCAGAGGTGCAAGAGGGACTGCAGGTTCACAGATATACGGACGAGAAGTTAGCAGAGTTCGCGGAAGGACTGTTGGTATAAGTTTCCGACACATCCTTCTTTGCGTTTGCCGGCCAGGGTGTTCACCGGCCAGTGGACGCATCGCCGACGAAAACCCGTGTGACGCTTTTGAGCTAAAATGTCCTTGCTTCAAGGCATGATGTCTTCACTTAGTTGAAAAAACGAAGCCTCCCTGACCGCCGTTTCCTCCAGCAGCGTAACGGGTTTTGACGGACCGTCGAGGAGAGAAGCAGCAACCCCAATCCGAAACACCACCCGAGACATGAAGTCAAAAACCCCAACCCAAGATCTCTGAAGCCGAACCATGAACCGTGAACTCCTCAATTTAAACCCAAGACCCTCAACCTTAGCCCCGAAACCCTAAACTCCTTAAGCCCGAACCTCGAACCCCACCCCTGATCCCCGCCGAAACTTGTGAGAGGGAGGCGTTACGGATTCTTGTAGGGTTCAGGGTTTCGGGTTTAGGCTGAAGGGATTCTTGTTGTAGGGCTTAGGGTTTAAGGTTTCGGCAACAGGTTTCAGGATTATTCTTTCCGGGGCTCTGCTGTGTCGGGCCGCAGCACGAACTCCTTCCGAGTGCGAGTGCCGAAATCCTACAGCCAGCCTTTCACCAACTACGTACAGATTCAGGAACGAGTGCTTAAGCTACAGAACAGGGAACTGCGGCAACCACTGCTCCTTCCTTATGACGGTAACTTGAACCGACTGCGGCGTGACAGCCCTAAGCGATAAGTTTTGAGCTGAATTCGGCATTCCGATCTCCCCGAAACCCTTAGGCTCCTTTTGCCCTTTGCATTGTCATTTATCACCAGAGTAGGAAAATGGCCAACTAGCCGTAACTAGCCATTTATATTAGCGTGCTACTGGGGAACCGAGACCCGAAACTCCGCAGGAGCAGCAGAACAAGAAGAAGCACGACGGTGGCCGTGGCTGCTGAGGGCATGGCTCACATGACCTCCTCAAACCCAGCAGCCCCACCGCCCAGAACCTGCCCCAATAAGAAGCCGAAACTGCCCCCGAACCCTGAAACCCAGAATGAGCCTTAAAGACATGTTTCGGTGTGTTTTGGGGAGCCTGTGGTGATGATCAAGTCCCCAAGCCCCCCAATTTGCAAGCGGACTTCACCATAACCAGCAGTGCTGAATGATGTTGGTCGTAGTGATGGCGATCGCTCTAGTTCCGTGTTAGCAGCAGGCCACACAGCGGTCACGCGATTGCAGCCGGTGCGCCTCTAACCAGTCGGGACAAAATGCGCCTGCACCTTCGTCTGTGTGGCTGGGCCTTTAAGTTAGGTTTTCTTCTGCATCATCAGACGACCACTTCGACCCCCGTCAACACCCATAGTCCGCCATTGTGGCGATCCAGGCGCTACTATAAAGCAGACAGAACAGCGTCGATCCAACAAAAGCACCCGAAGTTGTGGACATGACGCAAGCTCCGGAAACCCTTGGAGCCTTGCCTGCCTTGTGAGCGTCGAAGCCCTAAACCCCTGGAAGGAAGTCACACTGGAGCCGGCGGTTGTGGCTCAGGACGCTGCAAAGCTTGGGCAGATGCCCAGCGCTCAAGTGGGAGTTGCCGGTTAGGGTTTGGGGTTTAGGGTTTAGGGTCCTCGCATCGGGTCGTTGTGGCGTTTCAGTTGGATGGAGTCCAAAACCCTCAATTAAGAACTATCCTTTATACATTGTAATATATTGTAATACGAATCATAATATGATCTAGGGGGGATTCCCAAATTAAGGGGATTTGGAGTCTGTTAATTCTGTTACAGCATGCCTTGAGCAGATACAGTTCATGATTTTTATGCCCGGCGAGGGAAGGGCTGTCGGATTTCAGGATTCGGCGCTCCAGTCGTTGCCGGCGCGACCTTCGAAGGCACAGGCATCCATAAAGAAGCGGCTATCCCCTCAGCCCTGAAGCCTAAATATAGTTACATACATGCTTACATTCATACATGCATGCATGCATGCATTCGTCACATATGTATATGTATGTGTATATGTAGTTGTCTATGTATTTGTATATGTATATGCAGATGTAGATGTACATGTAGATGTCGATGCATATGTATTTATGCTTCCGTATCATCAACGCGATAACATCGCAACACTGCAGGGAGAGCGTTGCAGATCGCCGGTAATTCGCTTGCTTGCACATCTCACGTCCTCGCGCAGAGCATTGGGAATGTCGCCAGCGGCATCGCGTTGCTCGTGGGAGCCTCCAGACTATCAGGGACTCTGCAAAACATTGCCGTTGGAATTCAAGCCTTTAACCGCTAGCCCTCATATAGTTGTAGTGCAATATCCCCGCAACTCCAGTCTAGTCATTCAAGCACTCTAGCAGCATGATCCTGATTCTGAAGACGCCCAAGTATTGGGGCCCCAAATGTTAAGAACCCACCGACTTCGCACGGCAGGTTTCTTCGGCTTTTTGCGGTTTTGAAAGGGGTATTTTGGAGTTCTATAAAAAGTCGGTAAGGCTTTTTCAGTGCCTAAACCCGGCCGAAAGCCTAGACTGTAAATCCTCAGGCAGAAACTGCCAACCCTAAATCCTAAACCCCAACCTCCACCCCAAACCCTAAAGCCGAAACCCTTAGCCCTACGCCCGAACCCACCACCCTTGCCCTCACCTCCCTTTAAAGCAAGGCACTCCAAGTTCCGAGCCGAGGCTCGAGACCTTCGGCGTCTGTCGGATCCCAAAGGCGCTGCGGCTTCCGGGAGCTGTGGAAAGGGCATCGTCCGTAGGGTTTTCCTTAGTTTCAAATACATGTTTGAAACTAAGGGGTTTACGGTTTAGGGTTTGGGGTTTAGGGTTTAGAGTGAACTGTTTTGTAGTTCTTGTTTTTGAAAGCTACTGTTGTGATTATGCTTGTGAAATGCTATGAGTGCTCACTGGTAGTATTAGTATTATTATTATTATTACTACTATTGTTCTAATTCCGTCAGCTTTATGTGTTTATAGTTGTGGGTTTTATGATTTCTTGAGAGTGATTTGTAAGGTTTGGGGCCTGTTTGGTTGTACGAGGATTGTAAGAATTGTTCCTAGTAGAACCACGCCTAAACCCCCACAGCCCTTCCTGAAGTCAACTTTCACCCCAAACCCCTAAATCCTAATCTCAGGGATAGGGATGCTTCGGGTTTCTCCTGCAGCAGCTCGGTTGCAGCAGCTGAATCGTTCTTTCCATCACTCTTTCGGAATGCGGTTTAGGTTCTAGGGTTTACGGACTCATGTCTCGGACATAACCGCTGAGACTACAACCAAATTCGGCGGTTGGCAAGACGAGGCCTGACTGAATGCCTGCACCCGGAATAGTAGATGTCGCGCAATGGACTCCGCACTCCCCGAAGCCAAGAGCGGAAAAAAACACGAATCCCTGACATGGGTTCGAGACCGCTGCAGTTTCGAGCAGTTTCGAAAAGGCTCTCAACGACCGAAATTCCCCTAAACCCCAAACTTTCCTAAACCCTAAACCCGAATTTTCTAGTCCGGAACCCGAACCGCAAGAAGCACGTTTAGCGTTGAACAACCAGAGGCGATCCCAGATAGCCTTGCGGCAGCTTTGCGCAGCTTTGCCAGCTCCCTACTACCTAGTCTTCGCAGGTGTTGGTGGTTTTGTAGGTCTTTTCTGTATAGGTTTCAGGGTATACTTAAAGGACAATCCCCTGTATCAACGGCCCTTTATGACTCTACCAAAAACTGGGACCACTAAGTCCCCTGACTTTTTCGAGTGCTGCCTTTCTTGAAGGTTTACGCGCTTCGGCTTCGCGGGTTAGCGAGAACCTCCCAGCTTCTCTCGTGCAAAATCAATATTGTGTGTGTATATATATATATATATATGTATGTATGTATGTATACATGTGCATATATACACACTTTTCTCACTTATATTATACTGATTCCATGTATTTATTTATTTTTTCATCTAACCATGTATTTATCAAGTATTATTTGCAGAAGGTTGCAAGGCGTCAGGTGTTCGAGAGTCGAGGCTTCATGGTTTAGGGAGTTTAAGTCTCTAGAGTTCAAGATTGGAGCGGGTTGGGGTTAAGGGTTTAGGATTTCGGGTTCAGGGTTCAGGATTCCGGGATTAGGGTTTAGGGTTTAGCATGTAGGGTTTAGCGGTGTCAGGGTTTGGGGCTTGCTGGTTAGTTCCAGGGTTGAAGAAAGGCAGTGCTGGGCGGAATAGAAATTAGAGGGCTTTGAGCTTTAAAGGGACGTGGGCGCGCTTTAGGTGGGAGTTCCAGGAAGTAAGGGAGGGCAGTACAGAGCCGAAAGGGTCGATTCCAGCAATGTCAGCTCAGATCACTGTTTCGGGTTCAGCAGGGAGCTTGTGCGTGTGATGCCTTTGTGTACAACTTAACAAGTGTTCAGGGTTGCTAAAAAGTAACCATGCTAAGCATGTTTCACACACACACACTTCGAGTTTCTGCTTTCTCTTTTACGATGTCTGGGTTCAGGATGTATGGATTGACTCAGATTAAGCTTGAACGGTATGGTTTAAGGATTAGGGCTCACTAAGGGTACGGCTGAAGAGTTATGATGCGCATGCTGGCTAATGGCGACGTGCTCACATCAGGTCGCATCTCGCATCCTGAGAAACCAAAACCGTCAGCCCTCGACGATGTTACAGTCCGATGCTCTCCTTCCGTTTCATGTAGAACGTACATGTTGTGGCCGACCTCAGATGGCTCAGCAGATAGCTTATGCTGTCGTGACTTCACTCGACATCAAAGATGCAGCCTCAATCCTGGAGCCGCTGCTTTCGTCGTGGCGGCCTTCTACACCTTCCTTGTGCGATTCTTCCTCGCTGCGCTTTCGGAACGGCTCCGGCGGAGTCGACTCCACCCGCCTGGTGGCTGAAGGGCCGACCTAGGAAAGACTTCAGAAGCAGGGCTGAGGTCGAGCTCCTCTCGCAGCTGGCAGTGCTGCTGATGCCGAATCAACCCATTGCCGAGGCTTTCCGCGATTTTCCGGTGAAGAAATGCAAGGAGTGGGGCTGCAGCAGACTCTGCCCAGATTTCGCAGCTCATGGTGTGTTGAAGGCAACTGGTGCTGCACTGTTCATCGAGTACGACGGCTATTATCGTCACCTGGAGCCACTGGGCTTGGCCAGGGACATGCGGAAGACGCACGCGCTGCTGAAGTTCGCTCCTGCGGGATCTGTCGTACTGCGTATCGCGCACAGGGAGCGAAAGTGGAAGGACAACTCCATGCAGGTGTTGGTGGACTGCTGGCGGTCCGAGAGTGCGCCCGCTCTGCGCAGAACGCTACAGCAAGTCTCGGATTCTATGTTGCAGTATTGTCGAGACGAGCTGGTGTCGGGTCTCGTTTCACAGCTTGAGGCTTGTGCCGCAGCGAAACTTAACAGGCACGCACGAACTTTTGCAGCGGACGCAGTGCTGGTGGGCGCTGCGTCTAACAGAAACAGGCTGGCAGTGCAAGGCTTACTCCAGGAGGAAATGCAGCTTACCACAGGCCAAGTTGCCAAGATGATTGCGAAGAGTCCACCAGTGCTTGGCTTGAGCGGCTTGAGCATTGATGCAAATCTGAAGCCCACGGTCGAATGGATCAAAGGCTTGGGCCTGAGCCAGTCGCAGGTTGCAAAGCTGATTGCAACATTTCCTCAGGTGCTTGGCTTGAGCATTGATGCAAATCTGAAGCCAGCAGTTGAATGGATGAAGGGCTTGGGCTTGAGCCAGTCGCAGGTTGCCAAGGTGATCGCGACATCCCCAGCAGTGCTTGGCTTGAGCATTGAAGCCAATCTGACGCCAACAATCGAATGGATCAAGGGTTTGGGGTTGAGCCAATCACATGTTGCCAAGATGATCGCGACATTTCCTCAAGTGCTTGGCTTGAGCATTGAAGCCAATCTGACGCCAACAATCGAATGGATCAAGGGTTTGGGTTTGAGCCAGTCGCAGGTTGCCAAGATGATTGCGAAGAGTCCCCAAGTGCTTGGCTTGAGCATTGATGCAAATCTGAAGCCCACAGTCGAATGGATCAAGGGATTGGGGTTGAGCCAGTCGCAGGTTGCCAAGATGATTGCGAAGAGTCCACCAGTGCTTGGCTTGAGCATTGATGCAAATCTGAAGCCTACAGTCGAATGGATCGAGGGCTTGGGCCTGAGCCAGTCGCAGGTTGCAAAGCTGATTGCAACATTTCCTCAGGTGCTTGGCTTGAGCATTGATGCAAATCTGAAGCCAGCAGTTGAATGGATGAAGGGCTTGGGCTTGAGCCAGTCGCAGGTTGCCAAGGTGATCGCGACATCCCCAGCAGTGCTTGGCTTGAGCATTGAAGCCAATCTGACGCCAACAATCGAATGGATCAAGGGTTTGGGTTTGAGCCAATCGCAGGTTGCCAAGATGATTGCGAAGAGTCCCCAAGTGCTTGGCTTGAGCATTGATGCAAATCTGAAGCCTACAGTCGAATGGATCGAGGGCTTGGGCCTGAGCCAGTCGCAGGTTGCAAAGCTGATTGCAACATTTCCTCAGGTGCTTGGCTTGAGCATTGATGCAAATCTGAAGCCAGCAGTTGAATGGATGAAGGGCTTGGGCTTGAGCCAGTCGCAGGTTGCCAAGGTGATCGCGACATTTCCTCAAGTGCTTGGCTTGAGAATTGAAGCCAATCTGACGCCAACAATCGAATGGATCAAGGGTTTGGGGTTGAGCCAATCGCATGTTGCCAAGATGATCGCGACATTTCCTCAAGTGCTTGGCTTGAGCATTGATGCAAATCTGAAGCCCACAGTCGAATGGATCAAAGGCTTGGGTCTGAGCCAGTCGCAGATTGCCGAGGTGATTGCGAAATTCCCACAAGTGCTTGGATTGAACATTGCGGCAAACCTAGCGTTGAAACACGCCTTGTTGCAAAAATTCTTTGCACCGGCGGCTGCAGCAGAGCTTGTCGCAAGCGCACCGCGGCTCTCGAGCTATCGACAGACTCGGCTTGAACATCGTCTGGACGTGCTCAAGTCTCAAGGTCAGCTTTCCAAGCTTGCCGGCGCCATGGCTTTGGGTTTGGATGCCTTCAACCGCAGATTCACAAGTTCACGGCTGCCGACACAGGTGAAAATGGTTTGGCTGCGACGACGGGAGTCTGACGGATACTGGGGCTCGGTTTGTTGTGGGCTGTAGGCTGCAGAACCATCTGTGGAGTTTCCACACCGGGCTTCTAGAGTTGAGTCCTCACAGTTTTTAGGGCGGAGTGAGCAGGGAAGAAGACTTTTCGCTTCGGATTAAACGTTCATTTTGTTGGTTTGAGGGCTCCAGGGCCAGGTCTCAGGGCCAGCGCTTTGAAAGACGACCGTGTTTGATTTGTGACTGTCCCTGCGCCAGCCAGCTGCCCGCAGACACGAAGCCCCATGCCACACCCGCAGGCCCATCAAACATCCGTCAGAGTATTTGCAAGCTGTGGGCTCACGTACCGGGAAACCCGGGTTGAGGGTTTAGGGTCTAAAATCTTGCACGGTTGACAGGCACGTAACGAATGCCCACTCCCCACAGCTACGCCCCAAGCCTTCAAGCCTTTAGGGCCCTGCCCTGAAGCCAGGCTGTCCCACTTAGAGGCTCAGTGGACCAAGTAGGGCTATACTAGAAGTAGCGCAATTAAAGTCATATCTGCTTCTAACCCTAATCGAGGTACTTATAACCCCAGTTGCTAGGTCACTTGATCCTCTAAGTGAGCCAAGAAACCCTGAGCCCCAAGCCGACAACCAACCCCGAACCCCCTCCCAAGACTTGCCGTTGGTTAGTAGGGAATGGAGGAATGGTAGTAATAGTAGTGATAATTATACCCTATGCCTCCATTCCCTACTAACCAAAGGTAAGAAGACACCCGAACCGAGGTGCTGGAGTCGCACCTGCCTGGCACTCGCTCGTGTGACCGTTTTCTGAAGATCAAGTGGTTCTGAATCTGGGTGTCCCAAAGCCTAAACCCGACACGTTTTTTTGGGGCTTGCAGAGTTGCGGCGGTCGTAACCACAGAACGAGGGCGGAATATCAGAAGCCCACGCTGTCCAGCAAGGCCTGCGAGAAGTACTCAGGGCTCCAGAGACCGTTTTTGTTTGGGGCTTTAGTTTACTTTTCGTTTACAATTTTCAATGGTCTTGAAGGTCTGTACGTGCCTTGATCATAGACTAGTAAATGAGATCGATGCAGAATATAGTTTGGATTTGAGGCCTCTTCCAAAAGCCTTAAACCCTGTACCCTAAATGTTTGGACCTGCAAACCACTTCTTCCATGCCGCAGCTGGCTCGTCTCCCGTCCACCTGATTGGGCGGCCCCCAAAGTGATCACAATCCTCCACTTGCCCGCGTATGCTGAAAGTAGGTGAAGGGGTTTCGGGGTTGTCGAGTAGGGTTTTCGGGTTTAGGGCTTTGAGACCTGAAGTTTTCGGTTTTAGAGCTCTTGCGCCCATCCTAAGTGTGAGGTGGGGGGCCCTCGGACCCCCAAAACCCAATCCTCAAGCCCCCGGGGCGCATTTTTTGGCGAGCAATGCAAAGCATGCTGGACACCAGTCAAGACACCCTGAGGGCAACCCGCACGCATTGGAGTCTGTTTGCTTCGCGTTTGGATTCGACTCAGGAGTTGCTAGTGATTGGGAGACAGTCGGGTACAGGTTTGGCAGTATGACGTTCGAGCTTGCAGGTGTGGGGTCAGGGCTGTTTGATCTATCAGCTATCATTCCAGCAATCTGGAGGTGGATCCACTGATAGAGGTTTAGGGTTTAGAGCAAACGAGAATCCTCTTTCCCAGAGTGGTACATGCCAAGAATCCCTAATCCTACAGTGCCGCGAACCGAGGCGATTTTCCGGGAGGAGCTGGGGAAGCTCCGGCGAGAGATCGTGGCAGACACGAGGCGCTAAGCTGCTCCATAAGCATGCTGAGACGAATTCCTTTAAGGCTTCCCAAGACGGGCTTGCTCAAAGAGTACTGTAGGGTTCTTTAACAGGGTCCACCAGAAGGAAAAAAGGACTTGCTCAGACCCTAAATCTGGAATATGGAATCTAAGCCAAATGAACTTAAAGTAGCCGAAGCCTTACAAAGCCTTTGTAGAAGCCTTACCAAAACCCTATACACCAAACCTTTCTGCAACCATCGATCCGCTTGTCTCTGTCAGGCTAGAACTTGAAAGAGCTCTCAAGCCTGTCGCCAGTGGCTTCTTTGCCCACTCTTCGGGTTTTGGGGCTTCGGTTTCAGAGTTGAGGTTTTCCTTTGCTTCGCGTGTTTCGGGCTTTCAGGTTTGGGGTTCAAGGCTTCAGGGTTTGGGAATTTCCAGCTTCAGGGCTTGATTCTAACGGTGTTTTGGGGTGTATGGTTGCCACGTCTCCTTTACTTTGGATCAACAGTGAAACACATTTGATGCCAGCTGCTAGCTTTTTGTCTGCTGCTGTAGTCTTGAAGTGGGCACGGGTGTTTTTGACGATCACGTAAGCAACCATGCTTCTATCACGACATGTGCAACGACGACAAGCATGCGATCGATCAAGACGACAATGATGTTGATGCAGATGTATGATGGTGGTAGTCTTAGTGGCTGCGTCTTGTGCAAGGTAGAGACCACGTCAATCCTCAGCCCTGACTTCCAGTTAAATCACTGCAAGCCGTGAGCAGTTCAACCTTGTAAAATCAAAGCCCTCAGCCGTAACCGGTTGTACGGTTTCGGCAACCTATCCCTCAAACCCTGAACCCCTGCACCCTAAACCTTCAACCTTATACACTTCAAACCCTTAACCCATCTAAACCCCAAGCCGTAAACCCTAAAGCAAAAAGCTTAATCCTGCAACGCCGAACACGTACACTTTGAAGACCTAAACCTTAAAACCTCTTCGTACCCTAAACTCCAAGCCCCAAACCCTTACTCCTAAACCCCAAACCCTAAACCGGTTACTCGCCTGGATTGTCCGAGTGTGAGCGCCGAAACCGGTTACTCCTACACCCCCAAAGGCTTCTGAAGACAGCCGAGGCGTTACGACAAGGATCGCTCCGCCCGCTGCTCCGAAGCCCCAGGCCGCCCAGGGTTCCTTCAAGGGACTCCTTTAAGGGTTTAGGGTTTTAGGGTTCCTTTAAGGGCTCTTTTAGGGACCCTTTAGGGGTTCAGGGTTTAGGGTTCCTTGAAGGACCCGTCCAGGGACCCCTTCAGGGGTTTAGGGTTTAGGGTTCCTTTAAGGACTCGTTTAGGGAGCTCCTTTAAGGGTTTAGGGTTCCTGTAAGGACTCCTTTGAGGGATCTGATGGGGTTTTATGATGTTTTATAGGGCGTCTTGGGGTTGAGGGTTGAGGGTTTAGGGTTTAGGGTTTAGGAGCGGTTTGGGGGCTTCTTGAACTGTTGGGCTTCTGAGGGGCTCTTTCTGGGAAGGATCTTGCCTGTCAGCGTTTTTGTCCTACAGACGGGTCCCTTGTGATCATGTTTTGGAGCTCTCAATTTGGGGCTTGAGGTTAGGCTCTCACCTGAACTAGTTGAGTCTGCTTTCTAGCAGCGCTTCACCACCTGGGAATCTTGACGTTTTGGACTGGAGCAGGTGGGCTTTTCAGGTTCTGACGCCTTATATAGAGTATAATTCAATAATGTACTTCAAGTGTGAATTTCAATTCGAGACCCTCGACCATCAACCCGGAAGGATGTGGACGACGAGAGCGACGATGGTATTGGATGGGATGTTGGAGCCACCGAGGGCAATGTTGCCGGAGTTCCCGCCTCCATGAGTGGCCTGGCCTCATTCACCCTATCTCCTCCCATGCTTAGGCTCTTACGTAGCAGTCTGTGTAATTAGTCATGAAGTATCTTCATCCTCAATATCATCGGCATCGCTGCTGCTGCTGCAAGTGCATGTGCCTGGTCGCCGTGCTGGTAGTATAGAGCAAAAGTTTGTGCTATGGGGGGGATTCTTGTAAATTTAATTATGCAGACCTCCAGAAACCTTTAAAAACCTTGTCAATTCTTATAAAACCCCATAAGACCGTGCGAATCTTGGTCACAATCGTGGCCGAAGTCGTCCTCGCACGCATCGTCCTTCCTCTCTGCTAGGAAGTTTCAGTCGCCCCAGTTCTATTGCTAGTACTTGTCGTTTGCTATCGTCGCAGATGAGAAACACGAAAACACCGCACATCGAGCTTCGAGATTGGGAGTATGATGCTCTGTCTGTCGATGTCATTATCCTAAACCAGAAACCGTGTCCCTCGGCGAAAGTTTTGAGCATGTGCTTTCTCCGGCTTGGGAAGGGTTTTCCGCCAGGGAGGCTCTTCTATTGCCCCGAGGTTAGAAGAATCAGTGATACTCTACTGATCTAAACGGTTGGGATACTTGCTTTATATACACCCCACAGCCCTACAGCCCTTCTACCATAGAACCCGTGTCGCGCCTTTATCGTAACCGTTGTAGAACCCGCAGAGGAACTGTTTAGGCGGAAGTCTATTCTGATTGTGAAGACCCCTCTGCTCTGCCTTGTTGCCAGAAATCGCAGTTGCACTTGGGCGCAGGTCTGGGGGTTTGCACTGTAAGGTTTAGGGTTTCTTGAGTCCAGTATCAAAAAAGGATTTTACGGTTTGGGGTTTAGGGTTTGGGGTTTACCACAGCGGATGGATACTTGCCTTCTTTCAGAGATGGGAGTTGCCAGCTGATGCTCAGAGCCCAGCTGCAAAAAGGGGGTTTTGGGTGCGAGTCATGTCCCAGCCTCGGCTGCTTGTGGAAGAACCCCGAGCCTTAGTATTAGTAGGAGTATGACTACTCGTAGTAGTATTAGTATTAGTACTAGTATTACTGTACTCCGAGACGAGAGTGGTCAAAATGGGATTTCAGCATCTTGCAAGGCTTGTATTTCCAGTCCTCCCAACAAAAAATCACGGACTGTGCCAGGCAACGTCTCAGGACCTCCTTCGCGCAAGATCTCGAAGAAGAGCATCGTATCGCACGGCACGGAGAAGAGTGGAGCTAGCGCTAGTGGTGAGCAGCGAATCTTGGACCTACTTTAGACTTTCCAGGTTGCATCCGAAATGACAAAGCCAAACCCTAAACCCTAAGCGCAGATTCTACCAGGCTTTGCAGTGTTGTTGGCATGTGCAATCCTGAAGCCTCACCTCTTCAGGTCATATACAGGGGCTTGAATCATTAACAGTGTTTTTGTTTTAGGGTTTGTCTTGTTGTGCATGTTTTTCCAGGGTTTGTGACAGTTTGGTCTTTCATGCGAAAATCACCCCCCAGAAATGCTATTCTAATTCTTGAGCCCCCCATATTGACCGACTTCCACTTGGAGCCTCAAGTTTTAACCCCAAGCGACCTTTATCCCTGAAACCCAAACGACCTTTATCCCTAAAGTCTTTTCCTTAAATGGGAATTTCCGAAAACTAGGGGTACCTTATTTTGGGGGTCCTTATAATAAGGATCCTACTCTTTAGGGCACTATATTGGGGTCACCTATTTTCGGAAACTCCCAAATAGATCCCAAACTCCACGAAAGTCTGGATCCATTTCATGAAAACCCCCCCACTACCGCGGCTTGAACATGACTTACCCAGACCCCGAGAGGATCCAAAAAGTAGATCCCTTAATGGGGGTTCCTATAAAGTACCCCTAGTAGTATAGGGCCCCAAAGTAGGGGATCTACTTTCTAGATCCTCCCGGGGCTCTGGGTACTTATCTAGATGGCAGTTTGGCAGACTGTGGGTGTTCCCGTTGGCTTTATAGAGTGATACCTCTTCATCGGCGGCGGGCAATTTGCAGCCCAGTCATGGAGTCTGTATGGTAGGACAGGTCAGAAAGAGACCAGGTTCGAGATACCCCACGCAAAACCGTGTCAAGATTTCTGGAGATGTTAACTACAACCTGACAATCTTGAATGCAAAACTTTGTCCAAGCTCCTCCTCCGAAACCACGAGGGAAGGATACAGAGTCTGTTTTTTTCAAGCCCTCAAGACTTTTTATAACGGCGTTGGTATACATTGCAGCATGGTACGTAACATAGGGCCCATCCTGGACCAAAACCTCCACCCGATAGGCCCTGAAGCCTTGACTTTCAACCCGAAGCCAAAAGCCGAATCTTCAAACCCTTAGGGTTTAGGGTTTGAGGGTTCAGGGTTTAGGATTTTAGGGCTTTAGGGTTTAGGGTTCTGTGGTTTTGGGGTTTAGCCTTGCAAAACCACATTCTAAGCCCTAAAGGCAGGCCCGGAAGCCGTAGCCGAGAGACCCGAAACCGAAGCCGTAAGCCCTGGGCCCTTCAAGCCGTAAAGCTTGGAGCCCGAAGCTTTAAAGGCCCTGAAGCCTTAAACCTCGCACTGTAGATAAACCCTTGACCCTAAACCCGAAACCCTAAACCCGAAACCCTAAACCCTGAACATCTCAGATTCCATCAGGATCCGAAGCGAGCTCGGTAAGGGCTCGAGGAGCTGCTCGGCGACACTGGCGTTGAAGGTTTAGGCTTTGGGGTTTGGGGATTAGGGGTTTAGGGTTTAGGGTTGAGGGTTTAGTGTTGGTCAACTCTGGCCGCGCAGAAGTGAACCCTAAACCCTAAACGATTGCAAGGCTGCAGACACCATCTCGAAGGTGATTGATGCCTCTCGGTGGGCCATCGGTTTACGGCTCGGAGCGGCGAGTGTTAGGTTTGGGAGTTATGTCAGAGTTTGAGGTTATGAGCTTTGGGGATGACGGTCGGGTATGTTGACTAGGGGCTTCAAGCTTCCTGTACCAGGGTCGGGTTCCGAAAACAAACCCTGAGCTCTAAACCCTGGACCACAGAACCCTAATGGGGAGGGGACTCGGATTGTAGGTTGCAGGGTTGCGAAGTCCCCATGGGTCACTGCAAACCGTAACCTGCTTATTAAATTGGTGTCATCTTCACCGTAGATTCTAAAACCCAAGCAAGGGACATCTTGTGCCTGCTGAAAAACGGCATCGACGATGTTAACAAGGGGGTCTACATGATGAGCACCAGGTTTTTCTTAGAACCGCCTTTGGCATGTAGAGCTCTTCATGATCTCAGACGCCGAGCTCTTTCCAAAGTGCGCCGTTCCCCAGATCACGCGTAGATTCCCTAGATCGCAACCTACAGTCAGCCGGCTTTACATAGAGGTTCTGAGTGGGAAACATAGTCCGGTTAGATTAGTCAGCTGCACCTACAATCTGCTTGCGAGGCCTCCTGATCTCTGAACCCGGACATCTTAGGAGCACCTCCAGAAGACGCGCTCCAAAACGGTGAAAACTCGGGTGCAGGCACTGGTGAGGCAGGTTGGGGCTTGCTACTTCCGTGAGCCTTGCGGAGGGGGACTGGATATACAGTAGTTAGTAACAGGGTCCCGTTACTGTCCCCACATGCTACACTATACTACACCCGCCAAATCCTGGCCTTATTGCAAAGGCTACGGCTCGTGTTGTCGTTCTCTACGGAGATCTTAGGAAGACGTGCAGAGCTTGAGCCATCGGGACGCCTTCGCAGAATACTTGCCAATCTTATTCCTTAGTGTCCCGATCGAAATTCCTTTACAAGCCGCCGCGAAACCTTGCTGTAATCATCTGCTTTACATTGTGCAACTCCCAAGTCGAACAGCGACAAAGTCGCAAGCTACCGGAGTTGTTGGTGTCATCAAAGAGGCGTGACTTCTATTCAGGTAACTCGAAGCATCGTCCTAAACTTTTTATACGCATTACGCTGATCGCAGCAATCAGCACTTGCTCATTGTTCTTTCAGTAGCCCCTCAACTTTGGCGCACATTGTTACACACAGTCAGATAGCTATCAAGACTACCCATGACTACCCCCACATTGTGCGCCGGTCTAAACCTTATATTCGACCCCGTAAGACGTTGTTAAAGACTACACACCGAAAGGCCTAAGCAACCCGACGCCCTACAGACGTTAAGTTAAGTACGTTGTGCCCTAGTAGCTATTAAACCTGCTTGTCCCTTTTTTCAAGAACGCGTGTAGTATGGCGTTCATCATGAGAAATCATTGTCGTTGTCATTATTACATGCATGTTTACACATTTAAATTTAGATTTTCTGTATGCTTTAAAGTTTTTTGCTATTCGTACTAACTTGATTGTAGTAATTCTGATCATGACCTTGTTCCTTAACATGATCAATAGTACTATTACCATCAATATAGCTTTTATTGTGTAGCTGCTATTTGGTATTTCTATTTACTGTCATTTTCATAGTAACAACCACCACTATCATCAACATCACCATGCTTATCATTCATATCCGTATCCGGTTCGTTTTGTTGCTACCACTTTTACTGGTGTAACTTGTGCGATGAACATTGTTACTCAAAGTACTGTTAGTGTTTAGGATTTAGGGGTTTGGGGGTTTATGCAAGCAGTCACTGCGGACGATCCGGGCGAGATGCACGCCAGGGTTTGAGGGTTTAAGATTTAGGAGTTTACTTGGAGTATCAGGGACTTAGTAAGTAGGGCTATAAGTAAGCGAACCAGAGTTATATCTACTTATATTCCTAATTGAGGTACTGATAATCCAACTTACTAAGTCCTAGGATCCTCCAAATAGACCCTAAACCCTAAACCATATAGATCCCTCAGGAACCCCATAGATCCCTTAAAGGACTTACTAAGTCCTAGGATCCTCTAAGTAGGGGTTTAGGGGTTTAGAAGCTTAGGGTTTCGTGCCTTTTACTATAATTATCATAAGGAGCCCCCCCCAAAAGTTACTATTGGCAATTACTTAGGCTCCTGTATTAGGGTTTAGGGCTTCGTGCCAGGACCCCTGCCTTCGAGATGGCTTGCGCGCTGGTCCCTCGCTGCGATGCTTTTGGGTTCGGTTCTTCCGCCTTTTGGAACGGGCACGTCTGGGATTTTGGGATTTTAGGACCGATTTTAGGGCTTGGAGGTTTAGGAATTGGGATTTCGGGGTTTAAGGATGGCATTTGAGGAGCCGAGCCTTCATCCTGCGGTTTAAGGTTTAAGGTTTCGCCGACCTCCCAAGCCCGGATGCAAAACGAGCCTTTAGGGTTTATAGGGGTTTAGGATTTAGGGCCTTTGGGGTTTAGGGGTCCACGGTTCAGAGTGCTGATCTTTGCAGCGTAGAGGTGGTCGTTGCCAACGCCGTCATCATCGGGATTCGTGCTGCAACGTGGATGCACTAGCGATGTTGAACGGCAGAGGCCACTAGGCCTACCACATACTACACGGGCTTGAAAGCAAAACAAATGTTGTGCTCCCAGCAGTTCCGTATTCTAGTTCTACATACACCCCTAATTCATATCATTCCATAGGGTTCTTGATTTTTTTATGAAATGTCACGGAACCGTTAGAGAACCCTTACAGTACCACCTTCAAAGGAATCATATTGATAATATTGAGGCCCTAAGATCAACCTCAGTGGATCGACTTGCGGGGATCGGGGGCCCCTTACCCAGAGAGCCCAATATCCCTGAATTAAGGAATATAGCTTAAATCATAATGTGAAGCCCTATATTATTTAAGCTACATTCCTTAATTAAGGAGTATTGGGCTCTCTGGGTAGTTAGAGTCTCTAAGGCAGATAATTTGGTTTTGCGCGTGCCTGCAGCCGGACTTGTTTCTCGACCTGCCGCTAGGTGCCCCTGGCGCCTATATAAACCCAAACCGAACAAACCCCAAAGCCCACCCTGATCCCTAAACCGACTAAAGCCTCCATCAGGGTTGCGGGTGCTTCTGGGGTTAACCTAAGCTTCTCGAACATGAACCTCAAACCTAAACCCTAAACCGTAAGAGCTGTGGGACCCGAGAAGTATCAGGTCGTGGCAGGACTTTGGGTCAAAGACTTCGGAGTTAGGCCTCCATGCCCCCGTGACTCCTGTCGAACCTCGTAGGGTGTAAGTACCAGTGGTGAGGCACCATACGGTTGATGATACAAATCCTGCAATACCTTAATGACCCTAGACTATGGGAATTAAGGTACATTCCTTATCATGAGTAATGCAGGGTTTATATCATCAACCGTATTTAGCGTTTAGGAACCATAGCTAGCGTTTAGGATTCATGGGCTTGGCCCTAAGCGCTAAGAGCAAAACTCAACTGTGCTCTTCAGGACCTCCCGGTCACAGCCGATGTGTTTGTCTATGACGTCATCGAGCTCATCATGGCTCTGGCGTGCCTTAGTTATGGTCAAATCGGAATCGGCATTCAAGGGTTTAGCAAGGTATAGTTAGGGTTTACCAGTAGGGCTTTCTAATCGGATCTAGGGCTCGAAATGTGCGGCTGTGCTAGTTTTGCTTCGCCTTCATCTCCGCAGATCCCTGGAGCACGCATCCCCGTAAAATCACAAAGGCACCTGCTGCTGCTCGCGTATTGAGGATTCCTGGGCGCAAGCCTCTCCCGCTCCGAAACAGGGGGAAAAACGCGACACATTTTCGAAATGGCACATGTAGGGGATGACAGTGTAGCAGTAGAAAATGCTTAAACAACGTAGTGCATTGGCAACGAGTACAGGGTTTTCATGGTATATGTAAACGAAGAAATCACCAACCTGAGGTTCTTGGCTGAGTTGGTCCTCCGTGTGGCGGCTTCAGGACTGACAGAAGTGGGACCAGGATGTCAACCCAAAACCCTGGGCCCATAAAACGTATACCCTAAACCCTGAAGCCCCGAAGCCCTCGACTCTAGCTCACAGGTCTGGTCTGGTCTAGGCCTAGGATTGGGGTTTAGGGTTTAGTTTAGGGTTGGGTTCAGAGAGAGCTCGTTTAATAAAAAGGGTTGGGTTTAAGGACAAGTTCTGGGTTCTGCCAGCCTGAACTCAGGCTGGAAGCCTAGAGTTGAGTCGGTTTAGTGTTTGTTTCGCACCGCCTTTCGTCGTGCCCATGCTGTTATTTTGTTGCTACTTTTGTTTTCTTGTTCAGTTGTTGTTGTTGCCTTTGCTGTTATCATTGTTTCCATGCCTAGTTATCCTTTCTCGTGTGAATGGCTAGCACTGTAACCTCCTTGGTGCGAGTCCTCGGGGCAGCTGACTTCCAGTGAATGACCGTCGAAGGCTAGAAAACTGAAGGGTTTGAGGTTAGGGGTTCCTTATTTAGGTATCCTTGTACTCAGAATCTCGTGATGCATTCTGTATTCTGGCACTCTACACCGAGAATGGCACGAAAACATACAAAACAACACGGTGACAGTAGAGAAGGGGGAATAGCGAACCGCAAGAGCCACGCGCTGTTGTTCATCGTGCTTACAGCTTTCCGTTTTAATGTGTATTACGAGCCTAACAGCCTAAACCTCAAACACAAAAACCTTCGACCCCAACCCTAAGCCCTATACCCTAAACCCCAAACGTTGCAGCTTCGAGTTGTGAGAGCGTAAACCCTACAGCTCGAACCTTTGACCCTGAGCCAGAATCGTCATGTTTTCATCGCAGCCAGGCCGAGGCTATTTCACTGACAAAGGAGGTGCCAGGGGTTATGGTTGTTAGGGCTGCAGGCGTTTTGTTGTTGTTGTTTTGGGGCTTGGCGGTTCAGGGTGTTCGATTTTATTACAAGGATTGGGCGTTTAGGGTTTCAGGGCTGTTGGGGCTTTAGGATGTTAGGGCTTGAGGGTCTTGAGGATGAGGGTATTGGGGCTTAGAGGGGTTTGGGGCCTTTGAGGGTTTAGAGGTTGTCATGGTGTAGGGTTTTAAAGTTTTGATTTTTTTTGGGTGCTGTCAGGGTAGAAGGTTTAAAGCTGAGGGCCAGGAACGAACCACGAGACAATTGCTGCGCTTTCCGGCGCAAGGGCCGGGTTGGTTGTTGCTGGTTAAAAGACCCAGAGACTCCAATATCCCTTAAAAAAAGGAATAGACCTTAAATTATAATAGGATCCCTAATATGATTTAAGGAATACTCTTTAATTAAGGGATATTGGAGTCTCCGGGGAGTTCATGATTCAGGTTGACGCGGCTATAGCCGTGTTACGTGATTCAGACGCTTGCGGCAAATGTATCGTATTGCAGTGGTCAGAAGTCAGAACAGCGATGAAAGCAACGTACATCTCCATAGTGAGTTACAGGGGTGTCATGTAGAACGACCATAGGACCATAGTAGTAACTCCACTAATTTTCTGCAGGATTTAGTGCAAGCTTTCGTTGATACAGCTGCCGTTGTACAGTACACGCACTTAAGCCACAGAGGGGCAACCCGAACCGTAAACCTCAAAGCACCCAAAATTACTTGGCTTTGACCCGCAACTATCACACCCACCGCTCGAAACTCTGTAGCGTGCTCTCGCGCTACAAGGATCAAGAATGGGTTGGGGTAGCCCTTACCAGTGGACTGTACTTTATCTCTGCTCATAACCGACCTTTGTGACTTCCCCCAAGCCCGAAAACCACCCATACGCAAAACCCGTTAGCCCTAAAACCCTGAGATCTAAACCAGCCTTGTTCCCGAACTCGGGAAGGTTTGTTCAACACTCTCGATTCTCTCCTCATTTTCGTGATGTTTGCGGATGCCATCAACGCCCTTGCCAACGTCCACATGCTGGGCATCGATGATGGTGGGAGGGGCTGCGGCATCGACGGTTTAGGATGGTAGGATGTTGTTTTGGCCCAGGATTGGTGTATGCGTAGATTGTTGACATCTGGGGTACTCTGCGCTGTGGTTTCGTCTGAAACTCGACCCAGCGCGGACCTATTCTTCGGAGGGTGGGCAGAGGCAAACAAAAATGGAGATAGCCACAAGCCTTCCCCGGACCATCATCATCATCATTGCCGTTATCAACATCATCAACTGTTGAAGCTTCTCAGCGTTTGGGGGAGTACTTTACTGTTTGGAGTTTTGGGACGTACAGTTTTCAATGCAGCGACAACCCTCTGCGACGTTTTTCGTCGTCCGGACATTTCAGGAATGTGGGGTTGTTTGAGGCTAAGGATTGAAAGAGCAGTTGCAGACGGGAACGTTTGCCTTCTGAAGCCTTCCAGGCCCCCAAGGATCACCAAACACCATCTTTCTAGACCAAAACACCAAACCCCCCAAACTCCAGGCATTTTAACTCCGGGGTTATTACTCGCAACATCACGAACCCTAAGCAGCTTTAAGCAATCGTCGCCCCACGAGAAGGACCCGGGCAACTAGTATGTAGGTCGCAAGCAAAGTCAAAGATCCCAACCAAAACCTTCCCCCTTTGCCAAATCCCAAAACACAAGTCCTTAAATCCGAATCCCAGTACCAAAATCTCCGCAAACAGTCGGAAACCCGGAGCCCAAAACCCGGTTACCGTTTAGGGTTTAGGGAGCCATACACGCTTTTCTTGTACCAGGCGGGCTAATGAAGCTGTACCGGGTCGTCCGGCTGCTCCGCGTCATCCGGATGGCCCGATTGTGCCTCGAGCTTTTAAGGTTCAAGTGGAAATTTCGGGTTTAGGGTTTTGGGTAGGTTGTCCAAATAATTATGAGTCGTGTCAGTCTGGTTGTAGTAATCATTCCTTAGTATGATTCCATACTTTTCGCCAGCAAGCACTAGTTACTAAGGTCATTAGCCGCATTGCTAGTCGTCGCTGATATTCTTTTGAGATAACCATTAGTGTTGATGTTATTGCTGCGGTTTAATTTGCTGCGTAGTTATTGGACATGCTTTTCCTAATGCCAACTTCATTGCTATTGATATGCTTCCGATCGTCCTGTGATTCTCGCGGCTTTTAGCTGGATTATGTTGTCATTACAGGAAGTAATGAGTTAGTTGTTATCAGTATACGGTACACACGAAATTTCTCCGCACTGTTACCATTCGTCAACATCAAGACTGTGATTTCATTGCAGTTTAACGCACCCTTGCTCTCCCTATAGTTGTGGGAAGCATGCCTGCCGCTTCTTTGTTGCATCGCTGGCGCTGTTGCTGCTGCCGTTGTTGTCTTTAGGGTTCGAGATCGCACGTGGTGTTTTGGACGTATGTTCAGGGTGTGGGGTGTTGGCTCTCGGTGCTAGGTTGGGGCCACCGATCTGCGATTCGGAGTTATATTCTGGAACAGATTTTACCTTGAAGGGTTTCGGAGTTTAGGGTTTTGTAGAGGGCTTCCGGACCCCTAGCTGCTAAGCTGCTAAACTCGACTGATCGAGATCATTACCCTGCCGCAAGCCCTACGCATTAAAACTAAACCCTCAATCCCAAGCCCTTAACCCTCAACCCCTAACGGCAGAATCCGAAACCTCCAGCCGGGGCCCCAGACCGAAGCTGCCTGAAGCCACGTAACACCTAACCAGAGCCACGAAACCAGGACTTAGTGGACTGAATGACCCGCAATACTACTCATCATGGTCCGTTTGGCACAATACCCCTGTTCTAGTCATTCAGGCTCCCATACTTGGCTCCCATCTCCTAAGCAACCAGGAATCGCTTTGCTGGCTTTGGGTTTAGGGGTCAGGGCTTGTACGAGTGCAAGCGTCAAGAAGACCAACTCCCTGAATCCAAAACACAATCCCTACATTCCTAAAGCCTAATAGCAAATTCTCCCTAAGACCAACCCGAGGCACTACTCCTAGGCCCTCAAGCGGTTTAGAGTTCTGGTTTGCGAGTGGGTGGATATCCAGAATCCCAGTGTTGGTTCACGGTATCTTCGGGCAATCCAATCCAAATCAAACCCCAACCTAATTAAACCTTTCAGCAAGAAGTTACAGCGTTGCCTGGCATGAAGCCTCAACCCGAAACCCTACACCCCTCAGCAGCGCAGATCCACGCGAAAACATTATGGGACTCATCGCTTTTCATTTAGGAATGCGCACACGGAAAGCCCACATAACCCCATGAAGTCCACATTACAGTTTCGTCTAAAACTCTTGCATATCAAAACCCACTCGGACACCACTAAAGCCTTCAATCCAAAGCCCCAACAAGACCGGCACCTCTACGCCCTAAACCATAGCCGTAAACCCTAAACCTTACAAAGCCCGCTTTTCCCAGATTTCACATGGTTCCAGAGCTGCACTTCACGCTGACCCTGATGACAACGCCCCTGGACTGGGCAGGATTTGAGGTTTCATAGGTGTTTTAAACGTATAGGGTTTCAGGGTTTCTATAGAGCTCTAACATGGCGGCCTCAACAAATTTTAACGACTATTCCTTGATAGCCCCTGAATGGTGTCAGTATGGTATGACCGCATCCGACGAACGCCCCTATATCCGCGATTCCGGTGCTCCGTTCAGAAGGTCCATTCTCAAAGTCCCAGCGGTTTCTGGCTCAAGGTCTGAGGGCCCGCAATAGGAAAGGGGGACCCTTAAACCCCTAAGCCGCTCGAAGTCTAAACCCTCAACCTTACGGAATGGGAGCCCGACGAGCGTTAACGTTTTACTTTCAGTTCTAGGCTTCTCTTCTTTACCCGCAAGATTGCCTTGTTTTGCTCAGTTCCGTAGGCTGACACCGTGGACCCAACATCGAGCTCGTGCTAGGCCTCGAAGCCAGCTTCATAACATGATTCTCTGAAGCTGCCACGGGCTCCGTACTGTTGACAAGTAGAAGGTTCTGGGTGGATCTAGAACTCCGCACCCAAACAAAATGGGGCTAAGGGCCTTGAGGAATAAAGCATCTGAGGCCTGAAACCGAAATCCTAAACGCTTGAACCCTCAATCCCAAACAGGTCCGTTCAGAGACCCCTAAAATTTTCACAGTCTCACTAACGGCTGTAAACTCGAAGCCGTATTTTAAGCTACCAAGACTTTTCTTCTCAAAAACATATATAACGATCAACATGAGGAACCTCAAAAATCAGGGTTTTCTAGGGTCCGGGTTACGAGCGCGTAGGCCTTAAAACTCCCTGAACCCTAAACCCCTAAGCACCTAAACCCTAAACCCCTAAACCCTAAACCCTAAACCCCTAAACCCTAAACCCCTAAACCCCTAAACCCTAAACCCCTAAACCCTAAACCTATACCTAAACCTAAACGAGGTCCTCCACGTCCTTCTTCTGGGCTGCGGTTCTGATGCTCCTCATCATGCCTGGCTCCCAGAGCAGGGTTGGCAGGAAGGGTTCTAGCAGATTCTAGCACGGTTCTCTAAGACTCCTAAGGGTTCTGCAATGGTTGCATAAAGGCTTTTGAAGCTTCCGTATTGATTTTTTACAAGGGTACCACAAGGGTTGTATAAGATTGTATAGAGTTTGACGGGGTTGTAGAGGGGTTTATGGAGCTTAAGGGAAAGGTGGGGTCCAGAACTTGAGGGTACCTGGTGTGGGAGTTCTGACAGTCAGGATCTTTTATCCATGGTCTATATTTCAGGCGGTTTTTCCTGAAGCCACGCAGTGGACCACGTGAAGTCATTCTCTTCGGAAGCAAGATCTGTATCCCATCGTCAGACCGTGCATGTCGGGCATTTCCCTAGCCAGAGGGGATCCAGAAACGGACGTCACCCGAAAAGTCCCTGACATTGGGTTTGGGGGTTTGTGGCGCATCTAGGCCGAGCAAAGACTGTCAAAGCCAATGCCTTAAGCCCCAATCTCAAAATTAAGACCCTGCAGCAGACTGGAAGCACCTGATAGGATGCCAGAAGGGGTTGGAAATCGGATGCATGGCATGCAGGGTTTGGGTCATGCCGTAGCTGAATAGATTTTGGTCAGGAAGGTTATTTTGTAAAGGGCGTGTGTCAGGACTCGGTTGAGGGTTCAAGGTTCATATAATACTTACAATGTGCTATAATATGCTATATCATGCTGCAGTATACAATAACTATACAATAGCATACATGAAATACATACTAGAATTTGGACGCGTTGGGCACGTTTGCCCCGCACTTTCTTCTGCAGACGCCATGCTTGAAGAATGTTGTTGCTGGAATGGTGATGGTTGTGTTTCATAACTGGTATCAGAAACCTAGGAAAACGCTGGCAGGGACGATGAATTTGGGATTCGACAAGAGAGACGACACAGATGACGACAAGGAAAACTGTTGGAACATGATATTGCTGCAACTGGTTTGGAAAGGTGCATTCAGGAGGTCGAACTTTGGAGTTCGTAGTTTGAAAATGGGAATGCTTCGAGCAATTGCGCGGCGGGGAAACCTCTTTTTGCGTGTGCACGCCTGTCACTGTGCGAGGCCTAGCCAGGACGTGTCTGTCCAGGCCACAGCGGGAGAGACTTTGTCTTCACAGAAGGCTCTGTAAGCAACCACAGCATCGATGACACTCTGCAGTCCAGGCTCTTGGTTCAGGTGGAAGGAGGCCAGGGCATCAACGTGGTCATGATCTTTGCTCAGGCATTTCTGTCCGAGCTTATTCGTTCTCCGCAAGGCCTTCTTGATCGTCCCGGCGAGAGATTCTGCACGTTGGTCGCCTCCCACCATTGTGACCTTTGTCGCAGTGATCTTCGCCCGGTTGCCAAAACTCAACTTTGAGAGAGCATGAAGAGGGATCATATCTCGCCCTCTTATGGGGCGGGGTTTGGTCCATCCTGGCTGCTGCTCCCAAGCAAAGAGTGTCAGGCGGACGGCTTCAATGGACGTCATTATGGTTCTGACAGAGGATGCTTTGCCCATATGACTCACAGAGTGACCCAGGGAACTAACAAAAGCCAAGCATCGCTGACGGTGAGGTCGTGACTAAGCTCAGTCCACGCATCGCAGATCAGACTGCTCCAGCGCAGAACCAGCTCGCCAGCAACTTCCATTGCTAGAGAGGCTCGAGTGCCTACGGCTTCTGAAGCCCAAGGCTTCACATATGGGGTGACAAGGTTATGGCTGTAAAGTCGAGGGCTTAAGGAGCGGGGCCTCATCAGCCTTGCCAGCATTGCCAGCATTGTCAGCATTGCCAGCAACAGGCATCACCATCACGGTCATCATCAACTCATGATCACCATCAATGCGAGCAGCAGCATCGGCAGCAATATCGTCATCATCATGTCATGATCCAAACGGTCATCATCATGTGCCATCATCAGGTCAACATCATCATCATCATCATGTGCCATCATCAGGTCATCATCATCATGTGTCATCATCATGTCAACATCGTGTCATCATCATGCGTCATCATCATGTCAACATCATCATGTCAACATCATCTTGATGATCATAGCAGCAACATCGTCACAACGAGAAAGTGCGGGGCAAACGTGCCCAACGCACCCTAGAATTTGCTCTCATATTGCCATCATATGTCCATTTTCGGTATGGAGAGTGCTGCCGAAATTTATTGCCTCGAGGTATCTCGTGGCCTTGTACTTCACGGTGGACGCTTGGAGCTGCAAGGAACCTAAACTTTAACGCCCAAGACCCCAGCCCCTATCAGCCCAAATATATGAAATTACACTGAAAGCCTTAGAATAAAGTTTCCGTAGGTGTAGCATATAGCTTCACTAACAGCGCGTTTGCAAGATCCCTGAGCATTGAGGTGGCCGCAAGCAAACATACCCCAAGCAATGAACTCAAGACTCCTGGTTTGGATTGAAACTTCGACCCTACATCAGTTCTGGGTTTCGAGCCTGGGTGAGAGATGTTTCTCGAAGCAGCCGCACGCCATCCTCCTGTCGAGTGCTAGGCCTAAGCCCGACAATGCCATCAAGGCTACACTTCTAGAGGGCGATAATGGAACTCTACTTGCTCGACTCAGCGCTTCAGGTTGAGTTCGGGGTAAGAGGGTGTAGGAGCTCATGCTAGATGTTCTAGGTTTAGGGGTTTAGGGTTTTAGGGTTTACAGCTGTTCCGGGCGAAAGAAGCCTGCTGCACAAAGGGTTTCAGGGTTTAGCTGATCAGCAGCATATGATGCTTCTTCAGACGTCCGGCCCCAGCCCGTGACTCAAAAAAGCTGATCAGCAGAGTCTGGGCTGAAACCAGGGTTTACGGGTTTTTTTTCATGGTCTGGGTTGAGCAAGGTTTGGGAGTGTTAGGGTCGAGTAAGTATTTGCGGTTGACTTGTGCGCGACGTCCCTTTCCGTGACGAGCACTCATCCATGTAGTTATGAGCAACGTGGGACGCAAACTAAGGCATTACTGCCGCGGACCTGTACCCCATGCCCCACACCTTAAACTCCCCTGAGAGCCCAATACCCCTTAATTAAGGAATACGGCTTAAACTATATAGGGCTTCATATTATGATGTAAGCTATACTCCTTAAGGGGTATTGGGCTCTTTGGGTCTCCACCCTGAGCCCGAACTCCAAAGCCCTTGCTGGACCCCGCAGTGCAAGATGAGCCCCAGCCCTGGGATTCGAAGGTTTCGCGGCAGTTTGCAGAGACCGAGTTTCCCCAAACTGCGGATGGCGTCCGGCCGCCGGAGCTGGATGCATTGGAGGCCGCCTCACATGGGGAGCAAAGGCTTGCGAACTCGCACAACGCACACCCCTGATTTGTGAACACGCTTTCTTTCAGGGCCCGACTTTGTTTCAGGGCTTGGATATTAGGATCTGTACGGATATTCTTTACAGGCCGTCATCCGCCAAGTTTTCCCCGAAAGCCTTGTGTAAGTGTCCATGAAGATTTGTGATTTCAGACGCACAAGTGTCGTAGCATCCTACACTACAGCAGTCCTTTGGTTAAGGTCGCAAGAAGATTGCCGGGGCCGTCACAAACAATGTTATGCCATGGTAGAACCCCCTTTGCGAAACCCTGATATGGGAGTTTCCGAAATCAGGGGTACTTATTTTGGGGTCCTTAAGAAAAAGGATCCTGTTTTTTAGGGTGCTATGTTAGGGTCCCCTATTTCCGGAAGCTCCCATACATGCTGTGTGGGTGTTGGACCCGAGCAGTCCAGGTTTTCTGGGGCTCCACGGGCAAGTCGATCAACTCGCTGCTTCCTGGAGGGCGTTTCTATGGGGCTTCCCTGGGTTTCATAAAGGTTTTGGAGCTTGTTCCTGTGTGGGTGTCAAAAGATTTTACTACTAGATTCTGCACGGGTTCGTGAAGGGTTCTATAAAGGTTCCATACAGCAAAGGTTTCATGCAGACCAGATTTTAGGCTTCCTTTCTTACACGGCGATTTTATGGCGTAGGGGTTCGTCTCTTTTTTGCACTTTGCAGACCCCTTGCTAGTTCAGGGTAGTGTTCCGCAGTTAAGTTCAAGCTTAGCCCAGGAGCAGAAAGGCCCAACCACACTATCTATCTATACATACACACATGTATATATATATATATCTCTCTCTCTCTCTCTCTCTCTCTCTCTCTCTCTCTCTCTCTCTCTCTCTCTCTCCCCATATATATAACTGCTGAAAAGCGCTCACCAGTCCCCAGAAAGAAAAGCACGGACAACTTCGGAATTATGGCCTCCAGCTCTAAAGCCCTTCAGTCCGTAAGTCCCTTAAACCTTAAATTGCCTTGAGTTCTAACATCCTACAGTCTAAACCCCCAGAGCCCAGACCGATCAATCCTTCATGGTGATCCTGGATCCTTGCTGATTGCTAGAGGATGGCGAACTTTTATGAAGATATGGATGCTTCTCTTGCCATCGTCCACGAGAGATGGATTGCCTGTCAGACTTGTCAACCGTGCGGGCTCGTCCTTGCGAAGTAGGACACGCAAAGCCCATGAGGGCCTAAACATCCGAACTCCAGAACTGAAGCCCCAAACCCTAAGCCCTCCCAAGCCTCTCTCCTGCCATTTCGCCCCAGGTTCCTCGCAGTTTTCGGTGGGCAGGAGCAGAGCCTGGCTGAGGGCTTTTAGGGTTTTGAACGTGAGGGTAGCTCTCCAACTTAGGCTCACTTTTTAGGGACCTTCCCGGGTTCGATTTCCCAAGCGCGGATGCAAAAAAGGGGTCCTTTTTACAAGGGTGCCGTACTGTTTCTTGCGACCCTAAACAGGAACCCTAATTTAGAGAGCCACCCATGGGTTTTCTATCGGGGGTTGTAAAAAGGCTTTCCAAAAAAAGGGCCTCCAGATGGGCCCTGGGGTTCCATGAAGGTTCTGTACAGATTCCTATAACCCAGAGAACCCAATACCCCTTAATTATGGAATATACCTTAAACCATAATATGAAGCCACCTATAATTTTAAGGTATAATCCGTGGGTGCTACACTCGTGACGGTGTAAGCTTTGCGTGCAAGTTTTGCAGGGTTCCGGGTTGATGGTTTGTTGTTTGGGGTAAGCCCGGATGCAAAACAAGGTTTGAGGGTTCAAGTTCAAGGTTTAGTGTTGCGGGTGCGGAATTTTGGGTTCAGGGTTTCGGGTAGAGCCGCAGCTGCGGCAGTTGGGCTGAGCTTAGCAGCCAGGTTTGGTGGGCTTGAAAGCTTAGGACTATGTAAGTGGCTGGAAGCCCCTGTTTGATTGAGGGCTTATGTATCCGAACACATGCAGCCCTCAATTCGAGCATAATGGGCCCGAAAACCCTATTCTAATGATGAAGGCCCTCATATTATTATGTAGCTTTTCACATGCATCCCAGAAGTCTCCAGCAGGACTGGCACAACATGCTGCTGGTCTTCGGCGATGGTGCCTGGCCTTCACGCAAGTCGATTCGGTTTCTAGATGGTCAGACAAGTCTTTGGGGATTCTCAGCCAAGTGGGTAGGTCTGGGGTTTGTGGCGCAGGAGTAGGTTTAGGGTTTAGGCTTATGTTTTCAAGACTTAGGGCTTGGTTCGTGGAATATCCGCTGTATGTTAGACTTGATCCCGCACCAGCCCGATGTGCAGCCTTTTGCCACAGGCTTCGTACTTCGCCTGGAGTCGGTGCAACCTAAACCCTGAGCCCTAAAGCACAGATGCCGGCCTCCGCAGAAGCAGCGGAATCCCCAAACACCTGATGTGGCAGTGGACCTGATGAGCCTGGTCATAAGGGCCGCCATGACGCTTGCTAACTTGCCAGAAAGGCTACAATACGGGTCACCATAAGGCTTAATGACTCTAAGCTGCCAAAAATGGTTCCTGCACGGGCCCTTGAGGATTTTGTGTTTCACCCTGGTAGTTTTTTTGAATGAAGATTCGGTGATTCAGAGCCCAAAGCTGGCAAACCAGGGCTAATCCCGAAATCGTTAGCATGCGGGCCCACCTTTGATGCAGGCCCACAGGTTTTCAGCCGTTGAGCCTGAAGAAAGACTTCGAGAAAGCCCCTTCAAACGTGACAGGTAGCTGGTGGTACATCATCAACAGCATCGTGCTCTCCCTCTTCGTAGGCTTTGCCTTGGTGGTGCTCTTGAACCTGGTGCAGCTTGACCGGTTTGGGGTTCAGGGTTGAGGGTTCACAAGAAGCTCTTCAATCTAATGTTGCTTTCATGATTGGGCTTCTGGTCCTAGGCTTAAGTCGAGACTTTGGGCTGCCGTCACAGCTTGGACGAGAGGAGCAGGAAAGGCGATGACTTAGTTCTGGAAGGCGTCTTAGCATACATGGACAACGAGGCGCAGACTCAGCTGCATGCTGCCCATGCGGTGGACAATAGTGTGTCCTAAGTCTTACGAACGCCGAGAGGACCCTAAAACCTATGACGACTTTTCTTTGCGACGCTAGGGTCTCCGGAGCAGCTTAGAGCAGCCATAGCAGCACTGACACGTGTTAACAGCAGTATCCACAGGAGCAAGTCCACCAACACTGGAAAGCACTGCACAGGAAAGTAGTAGTGGTACCATCGGAAACGACCACAACACCGGCAGCAATGCTGCGTTTAAGTCCCTCCAGAGCCCGACGACTTGCTTTCTAGGCCCGAAACCTCAAAGCCCGAATCCACCCAGGAATGGCGTGTTGGTCGAGGGTGCACAGACCATGATTGCCGAGAGGTGACCCGGTTTGGGGTGTCAGGAATTCGGTGCTATGGTGGCTAAGGCTTCCTATCCTAGGCTTTCATCTAACATAGAGAAGAATGAAAGCCCTTACAGACCGTATATATATCCTTACTATACTTTCAGAGAGCTATTAAGGTGCCTATACTAGGCTTCAGCTGGATCGACGCTTTTACTCAGGGCTTTGGTCAGCGGCAGCTCGCAGCCTAGAGTTGACCTAGTATGCTGCAAACCAAACCTTAAACCCTAAACCCGAGACTCCACATTATTTGGGTCGGAGGGCGTTTCCATGTAGCATGCCCAGAGTGATGCCATCGAGTCCCACTTCTGACCGGCTACAGTGGCCCGACCGGGACATGTTCCATGATTCAAACCCTAAACCCAAAAACCCTGAACCGCCTGCAGACCTTGGATTCAGAACTCCTAAACCTCAAAGCCGAAAGAAAGGCCGAAGATGTTCAAAGCCTTGAGCCCCAAACCGGGTTTGAGGCTTCTGCTCGTCAGTGGCCCTAAGGCCTTAAACTCCACACCGCTGGCCGCACGTCTTAAGCCCTAAACGGTAAAGCCTACCGAACCCTAAACGCGTCTTCGTGCGAGTGTGCGAGTCGAAACCCTGATCCCCTAGATCCAGAAGATTAGGGTTTAGGGTTTAGGGTTTAGGGGTCTGAAACCCCTGGATCCAAACCCTGAAGCTAGACCCAAAACTTCGTAGGAAGCAGAACGAGCTGGTGCGCATGGCAGCAGACATTTTCGTTCATTCGGGCCACAAAGCAGGAAGTGTGTCTCGGCTGCAGATAGCAGCGGAAAGGGCTTTACAGGGGTTTAGGGGTTTAGGGTAGACTTCAGTGCAGTAGCAAAAAGGGGTTTAGGGTCCAGGATTGGTTCTATGCGGGTTAGCAGCGCTTTTATCTTGTAATCGGATTTTATAGAGTTTTGATGTGGGTTGAAGAAGGTTTCAACGGGTCTGGGAGCAATAAGGTTTTGGATCGTGCTAAGGCTTAAGATTACAAGGGTGGCTGAAAATCATGAAGAACATAGTCCTTCACCGTTTCTCAAAGGGAAGCTGAGCGAGCACTGCAAAGATGTTTTGCTTGCGTGCAAGACTGGAGGAGGCGGTGAAGAAACAAGGTTTCGCAACTACATGGGCAGTTATAAGTGGGGTCATAATTAGGGTAACCATCGTTATAACTCCCATTAGGGGACATATCCCCCTTATAACTACCCATGAACCTCCAAGTACAAGTCACATAGCTACCTTGAAAGCCTGCCATGTGAACTGTTGTGACGTTTCCTTGGCGTGAGAGTAGGGGAGACGCTATGCAGATGGGTTTCAGCGGCTTCTGGGCTCTTGCCCTGTAGGGGTCTATGCTCTAGGTTTGTTTCTCCACCAAAGACCGTGCAAGGAGCTGACGCCGGAGGAGTTTGACGCCCTTGTGCACACCAAGGCCCTTGCAAGGAAGCCCCTACAGTTTTAGGGTTGAGTGGTATCCCTATGCCCTGTCCATGTTTGGATCTCTTCTTTAGAATCGGGTAATCGGAAAAAGAGCCCTAACCATACAGCTCTTCTTAGTGACGGGGAACGGGGGAAGAACTTTTCGGGCTTGGGTTTAGGCAGGGTGTAGTGGGCCTTTCGGGTTCGGGGGTTTAGGGTTTAGGGTTTAGGGTTTAGGGTTTAGGGAGAGCTCAGGGTTATCTGGAGAGAGAGGGAGTTTAGGGTTAGGGGTGTGGGAGATTCGGCACTGTTCAGGTCGGGGTTCAGGGCTTTACGCTTTGAGGGTTTATGGTAAATCAGCGAGGTGCACGAATCGATTGTCCCGAAATCCGATGTTGAATCGGAGCTTTGGATGTTATCTTCAGCTGCGGAAAGGACAAGATTCGAAAAGCTGAACTCGAAACGACTGGAAAGAAGCCCCCAAAGCCCTGAACCCCAAACCCTAAACTGCCCTAAGCTCTAAGGCTGTTGGTAGCCGTGGCCGCGGGTCACAAACTCCAAAGTAGCACCTGCCAGAGAGGTACTGTAGTCCTTTGAGAAGTTCTTTTGTCCGGAGCATTGGATTTTGTTTAGTAGAACTTCACGGTGAATAACTGGACATGTCCAGCACATGCACGGTGTAGAGGCCATGGACAACTACTTGGAAGCCATCGGAAGCTCGGCAAACAGCCATG